CCCCAAAACCCCAAAACCCCAAAACCCCAAAACCCCTTTGGATTTGAATTTAATTGTCAGAATATTAATTTAAATAATAATATGGGACTTACTAAGGAAGAAAAGAAAGCACTCAGGGAAAAATTGACCATGAAAGGCAAAAATAATGAAACCTTATGGAGAACTCCAGGAGAGATCGATGGGAAGCAGTTTGCCATAGCAGATTTGGACGGTTGAACCGCACACGTGTTTGATCATACCTCACAGGTAAAGATTTCGATGTTTGAAAATCTGGTTTAGAGATATATATTGTTTGAATTCTTCAAATTATAGTTTCTGTTTGAAGTAGCATTTCCAAGTGTGAATTTTCTCAAAGCCATTACTTTTTACCTAACTTATTATGAGTTTCTTTCAAAAATATCTGATTTTTATAGATATTGATAGACAGGTGTAAAAATACTACCTTTTTCTTCGGCCCTGTCAAGAATTCAGTATTCTTCAGGGACTGTGAGAACTGTGAAATTTACGTGCCTTGAAATCAATTCAGGTGAAGAGATTTGTACAACTCGACTATCTACTTATTTTGTGAAACAGATCCTGTCATTGAAAGCTCAGCAAATCTCACATTTGCTCCATACAATGTTTCATATCCTCTCCAAGACAAGCATCTTGCTGCTTGTGAGTTAGACGCAAGCGCCAACAACTGGGATAAAATATTTGATTTTACTGATACAAGTGAGGAAGGAGAGAAAACAATCCACCACAGTTTGCTAGATCCCTCTCAGTATAGAAGAGTGCAGAAAGATATTGAAGGGTTCACTGAGGAAAAAGTGAATCCTTTCCCTATTCCAGCTCGTTATGGAGGTGATGCTCCTGATAACGACCTTTCTCAGCATGAAGGAGACGGTACTTTTGATATCAGGACTACCTCTAAAGAAGATGCTGAGATGCTGTATCAACAACATCAGGAGAAACAAATGGAACAAGCAAACGACGTCCTCGGAAATGACCAATATGAATTTTCAGAAGAAACTAAGAAAGAACCAAACCTTACAGAGGAAAGAAGTAAGCAAATATAGCAATAATTTACTTTGATTACACACTGGAGATTACAGTTCATTCTGACATTATCAACTCATTATTTTTGTATAGCAGCTGTAGACCAGTTAGAAAATAAAATGGATAACCTCGAATTTGGATTTGATGCTCCTAAGCAGAACCAAGATTCTGTACAAGACGATACACAGCAGAACTACACTGGATTTGGGAATACCAACTGGGATACAGGAGATAACCCATCAAATCATGAGAACCAGTTCAATGCAACTAATGTGGCTTCTCAAGAACAGCAGGATGCTGATGATGCATTTGGATTTGAAGATTCTCCCAAACAACAAGACTTAGGCCAAGACGGATTTGGTTCGGCTCCTGATGCACAACAGCCTTCTGAAGATGCATTTGGATTTGACGAACCTACAAAAGGAGACCAAATTACCAATATTGGGGAAGATGCTGAGGAACTTGCCCTCATTGAGGCAGCTCAGAGGAGTATGCAGGAAAGACTCAGCCAGCTTAGACATAAAGAAGAGCAAGAACTGACAGAGAAAAGAGCTCGCAAACAAAAAGCCCAAGACGAGCTCAATGAGTGGTATAGACAGAAGAATGCGTCTGGTGAAGCAAAGCGCAAGCAGAACAAAGAAGAAGAGTGGGCCTTTTTGCAAACCAGAGAAGAACACAAACAGAGCAAAAACCCCTGGGAGAAAATTATCGACAACGTGGAGATTGATCAAAGAAAATATCTCGGAGCCAAGGACGTAACGAGAATGAGACAAGCAATGCTAGCAAGAAAGCAAGATTTGAAGAAGTCATCTTAATGTTTTCTGTCAATATGTTAGACAAATTATGGGGTTTTGGGGTTTTGGGGTTTTGGGGTTTTGGGGTTTTGGGGTTTTGGGG